GAGCCCCTTGAAGAGGTGACTTTCCTGGCTTATAGATTATTTGGCTTTTCTATGATTCCCTCCTGTACCTGTCAGCTGATTGGTCAGCTATAACATTAACCTTGGTATTTAAAATTCACTTCTTCCACGACTGGCATGAGGGATAAAACCCTCTATACTTAAGATAAGGGTTCGTTCGGATTTTTAAAACCCGGAGGGTTAGCCCCAGGATAACCCAAGAAGTCAGTGCGTCATCGAGGATGTAACTTATTTCCATTGGGGTCCTTAATTTTGGGCCCCCAGGATGGACCCACCAGTCGACTAACACCCAGGTACCTATTTGCTGCTAGGTGAACAGGACAACAGGTGTAAGGAAACGTGTCGAAATGTTTCCACCCACCGGGAATCGAACCCGGGTCCTCAGTGTGTGAAGGGGAGCTTTTAGCACCCGGGCCATGGGCCACCTTGGAGAGAGGCTTTTGTCACCAGGCCACGGGCAAGATATTTAACCAAGCTGAGCTGAAAGAAGGAACAGGCGTGTCTGTAAAAAAACGGAAATTAGAAGTTCCCAATTAGATGAGGTGGACCATCTTACCAGTACCAGTAGAGCCAGACGCCCACATTTGAGTTTAGTAACCGGCTTCCCCCAAAACCGTTAAATATCTAGAGGGACAAATTTGACTAAATTTTTTTTATCGTGGGGGAGCGCTAAACCCCTAGGATTATACGCGAAAGGGGGACAGCTGGGAATTAAGAAAATTAAGAAAATTTTAATTCAGGACAAAAAACAATTAAAATAAATTGTTATAAAGGGCAGAATTTTTTTTAAAGGTTACCTAAAATAAAGGTGGTCCCCTGTAATGTGCCCACAAAGAAAAAATATGTGAAAAGTTGTGCCAAAAAAAAGAAAAACTTTCACCTTTAAATTTACTCCTCACTGCTTGTAAACACCCTTCTGGCAAGACGTGATGGAGTAAAAGGGGTAAAAAGTTTTTCTTTTTCGGGCCACCCGGCCTTGGTTGGGAAATCCCAGTGTGAAATAAAAAAAAAAAAAATTTGTGCCAAAAAGAAAAACGAAGGGAAAATTTGCACGATGCCGCTCAAGTCCACCCCTTTATGACTGAAGCAATCACGGTTGGGGTTTAAAAAGGGCCATTAAACTGCTTACGGGGTATCGAGCATTTGCCCCTTCCTGTGTCAAAAAAAAAACCTAAAACCAAAGTGGGAGGGATGATGTTTTGTAGGAGGGATGTTTGATTAAATTAATGGGTTTTGATGGATGTTTGAGGGAAATTTTTGAGGGGAATATTGATTGCTGATGGACTGGCGATGAAGATAAAATATTAAAAAAATCTGTTTCTACATGTAAGGATAAAGCCCCAACCCGACATAAAAATGGCATACAAATACACAAAGGGCCCCTTTAAATTAAATTATAATAAAAAAGAAGCGCTAAAATTTAAAAATCATAAAGCGCTGAAAGCCCCTTTTTAGCAGGCATTTTTGGGGGAAATTAGGTCAAATTTTTTTCCCCCGGGGCAAACCCCACCCCCCCCGCTAACACTCAGGGACTATTTAATATAGGTGAACATGGAAAGGGGTGTCTTAAGGAAATACACTTTTTTTCATCCGTACTGGGGATCAAACCCCAGGGCTTTTATTTGTGAGGGCCGAGTGTGCTAACAAACCCAAACTATGGGGAAAATCTACTAAGGCTTTTCGTATTATAAGTCCCCAATGCGCCCTGAAGCCCCAAAAGGGCCCGGTACAGGCCAAGGGAATCCTGCCCGGAAAAGGGGGGTTTTTTCCCCCCCATTAGTAAAACAACTTAGCTCAAAACAAGGGGGTCCCTGGGTTTTGATCCTCAGTACAGGGTGGACACATTTTGGACATGTTTCCTTAAAAAACCTCGTTTATGTTTTACCTAGAAGTAAAAATTTGGGACCCTGTTACCCCTTTGGACCAAACTTGGGGGGGCGGATTTTGGGGATTTATTTACAAACCCCTGTTGTGGGGTCATTTACCCCCCTTGTAAACATTTAAAAAAAACCCCCATACAGGGGAGAGGAGTTACGACGGCGTTTTGGTCCCGCCCTTTGGGCCCTTACAAAATTACCCCTAACAAAAAGGAAGGGGGGGAGTTTAATAAAAAGCAGACATTGACAGGAAAAAGGGGAGGTAGAAGGGGAGGAGGAAAAAGAGTAGTTTGGGGTAGTGGAATCATTTAAAAACTAAGAAAGGAGCACGGGGGAAAAGGGGGCTAAAAGGGCCCCCATAGGGAAGGAACAAGAACACTTAGGGGAGAAAAATAATGATGATGGAGCAAATACCCAAGGCAGAAGAAAGAAAACCCAGAGAGGAAAGAGGAAAGGAAAAAGGGGAAAAAAATAATCAGGTTAAGTCATGGGTGTTCTGAAGTTTGGAGCACTTTACAATGTAATGGGAAAGAAAGGCATCTACAGAGACAAAGCCAGGACCAAGATTCATACAAGGAAAGTCATGTATATAGGAGGGTTCAACCAGACAGCAACTGTGAAAGTTAGAAGTAGGGTAGACAGTTTTAGCAGAAGACCAGTCAATAGGATGACCCTATCTCTGACAAGACAGAAGAGAGCATTGTTTGGTGTCAGCAAGCCTAACATTAATTTTGTGCTAAGTCTGTCAGAAAGAGAACAGGTTATTTGCTGTATTGTTCCAGTCATGGTCTTGTGCCTTTTTTATTTACATCACTGTTGCTGTTGTGGGATCATTTACGCCAATGCTGCTGCTGCAAGATCAATTACACCACTGTTGCTGCCGAGATCATTTACACCACTGTTGCTGCCGAGATCATTTACACCACTGTTGTGGGATCATTTACACCACTGTTGTGGGATCATTTACACCACTGTTGTGGGATCATTTACACCACTCTTGTGGGAGCATTTACACCACTGTTGTGGGATCATTTACACTATTACTTTTGCTGCAAGATCATTTACACCACTGTTGCTGCTGCAAGATCATTTACACCACTGTTGCTGCTGAGAGATAATTTACACCACTGTTGCTGTTGTGAAATCATTTACACCACTGTTACTAAGGGATCACTTACACTGTTGCTGAGGGATCACTTACACTGTTGCTGAGGGATCATTTACACCACTGTTGTGGAATCATTTACATCACTGTTGCTGCTGCAAGATCATCTACACCACTGTTGCTGCTGAGATCATTTATACCACTGTTGCTGCTGAGATCATTTACACCACTGTTGCTGTTGTGGGATCATTTACACCATTGTTGTTGTACGATCTTTTTTGCCAATGTCAACACACCATAAACTAATTTTATTTTGATTTCATTTTTCTTTTAGTATTAAGTGTATAAAAAATATGCTCTTCCAAATATGTATTATTATTATTACAATCAAAACTAAGTGTTAAACCCACAAGGGTCATACAACGCTGTCCAAGAGAGTAAAAAAAATCTAAAAAAATTTTAGTGTTCAGGGGTAACTAACAATATGTTAGGTAAAAGGACACATTTTATTGTGGCAACGTTTCGCTCTCCAGGAGCTTTGTTAAGCCATTACAAACAATACATGGACACAGGGTATATATAGGCTTAGAGTGAGGTGTACTACTAGTGGTGGTGGTAGTAGCAGTAGTAATACTACCACCACTAGTATTACATCTCACTCTGAGCCTATATATACCCTCTGTGTCCACGTATTGTTTGTAATGGTTTGATAAAGCTCCTGGAGAACGAAACGTTGCCACAATAAAATGTCACATTAGTTGCACTTGTGTCCTTTTACCTAACATATTGTCAGTAATTCTACCAACATTAATATAACTAACAATGAATGACCTCCCACAGTTTCAGCACCAATCAGGGAGGAAATGCTGAACAAGTAGGAGTTGTATAGTGCCTAGAATGGGGGGGGGGGGTTTGCAGTCAAGTTTGTTCAAAGAAAGGGGAGGATTAGTAAAGCTCCTTGAATCAAGAGCCCCTCACCAGCATCAAGGTGTGGGGAACTGTACAGGTAACAGAATGCGTGGAAAGTCATGTAGACACTTTCATGGCTAATTATCATGCACTATTTGGTATATTTTACTAATTTTCCACTTTACACCATTGTTCATTTATTACCCTGGCCATAGACGTGTCCTTAAGAGATGATCTAAATCACAGAGTAGACAAGAAAAAGCTGGTATATTGAGGCACCAGGTGACAGAAAAATTTATCTGTGGAGGCAAAATAAGTAATGTACCAGAGAATAGTGGCACCAACACTTATATGGATGTAAGTCATGAGCTTTAAAATTTACAGAAGTGGAGGCTGGAGACAGTGGAGCTGTCATGTTTAAAAGCAACATGTGGTGTGAATATTATAGACTTTGGAACGTAGATATCAGATGGTGCGGGGTTACTAAACGTATAATTCAGAGGAAAGAGATTCTTGAGGTGATTTGGGTATTTAGAGAGGATGGAGGAGAATAGGATGACCATGAGGGTGTATAAACCTGGAGTAGAATGGAGAGGTTAGGGGTTATCCCAAGAAAGACTGTAGGAATGCTAGGGACTCCAGCATTCAGGTTTGTGTAAGCTTGTTAGATTGAAGTGACTGGGGAAAAGCGGTTTTCATAGTTTGACAGTGTTGGAGTGAGCACGGTAACATTTATGAAGAGATTTTAAGAAACTGGTTAGTTGGACTTGAGTCCTGGAGGTGGAAAGTGCAGTGCCTGCACTTTGCAGGATGGGTGGGAATGCTGAAGTTTAGAGGATCATTTGAATTATGTCTGCACTTCTGACAAAACAGCTACTGACTTAATGATGGAGAGCATTTTCTTTTTTTATGGGTCACCCTTCTTCAGTGGGAGGCAGCCACATTAAAGAATAAAATCCAGGCAGGTATGCTGTTACAGTCCAGTGTAGCACAGCAGGCAGGGAACATGTCACAGACCAGTGTAGCACAGAAGGCAGGGAGGTCTATCACATCCTCACTTCTGTTTCTGTGAATGCTAAATAAAAACAGAATAATTTTTATGTTATTGCCTCTTTATTTTTAAGCGGTTATTTATAAAAAAGAGTGACTGGTAGCAAGAGTCTGGTGGTGTAGCAAGCACTGTGTAGTCAGTGTCTTAGTAATCACTTCTGGGTTTGTATCTAATATAATTCTAATAAATTTATTTTTTACAAGATGGGATACACTGAGGAGGTACTGTGATAAATTTCTTATAAGATGGAGGGATATAGTGAGGAGGAACTGTGATAAATAGGAGGTTTTAGCAAAAGTACAATGGTGAGGAATACTATTATATTCAAGAAAAGTGCTAAACCCATGTGAGTTATTCATCTATAATAGGGAGGAACCCTTCATGATGCTCTAAAGAAAAATATGGATAGCAAAATAGATATAAAATAAATTTACTTTAACCCAGAATGCCAACATATGACTCGAGATGAAACTACCTTTCTCACTGACTCCCCTGTACCATTACCACAACCTTCACCATAGTACTCCTCTGTAAACTTACTCCATAAAGCCTCTTTGGTCACTAGCTCATCAGGTTACCACCACCACAGTACTCCTCTGTCAACTGCCTCCAAGCTACTTCAGACTCTCACCCTGTCACGTTACAACCACCACATTTCACTATGACATTAGCACCACCATAATATTCTGCAAACTCACTACATTTCAGTTAAAAATTAAAATAAAACTATATCACTTTGCTGATTAAAGAGCAAGTAAATAATTAGAACAAGTGTTTAGTGTTGCAGCAAGTTGAAGGTAATTCAATGCATCACTTTACAGTACTGGGAATATGTAAAGTACAGTATTCCACACAAGCAGCTAGAACAAAGATTGAAATACAAGCTATGACAAAATTTTAGCTAAAACTTCATCTTTACCAGATCTGTATATCTAGGACAAAACCTAAAATCTATAAATCACAATAGGGACGGACAAGCAACAATATACAAAAACTGTATTAACTGCCTTCTGGAGATGTTAAGAGAAAATGAGATTACAAAAATTATAAATTTAACTAAATTCTCTATATAAATACTTATACTATTATCTTAAGTACTCAAATAATGACCTTCTAGGCTACCTTCAGCAACTGTTGTGATGTGAAGTGTACTTAATTATGTCTAATAAAGTGTTAAGTATTGTAGGCACAAATTAAAGAGTAACACAAATGCTCTCATCAGCTCAGTAAAATTATCTTACATTTCATTATTATTCCTATAGTGATATATATACTATATAATTCAATAACACCTCACATCGTTAAGTTAAACTGATTAGGTCAACAAGTTATGAACTTAAAGCTAAGGTAATACTTCTCATCTGGGGTTACTATCTACAAAACTGGGGAAGGCAGCATAAAAAGCATTTAATTCTTTTATAAAAAGTTAAAGCTCAGGCCACATCTTACCATTAAGGGTAAGTCAACACAAACTATGTCTCCTTTACAAGCTCGAAACCTTTAATGTCGACAAGAGTATTTTCTGAAAGCTTAGAGATGATGTCTGGTAAGCAAGCCAGTCAATGCGCTCTTGGGAAAAGCTTTTTATGGTTAAGTTATAAACACTTGTTTAGAACACTGTCTACTTGCACGTAGATCTACCTTAAATAACAAATTTGTGCACATCACTGATAATGTTACTTGAACTGTAGAGGCACAAGTGAGGAGCAAGAGAGACTTAAATCACAAACATAATATGCAGGTAATACTTGATTCATTTCAGACACTAACCCTTTCACTGTCCAGACCCCCATAATTAAAAGTGCTCACCGTGTCCACATTTATAAGAGAAAATTCTTCTGAAATGGTATAGAATTTTTTCTGAAGATAATGACACAAAACGCAAAATTTTATGGATAACTTACACAATTACAGGCAGAAAGTTAGCAGTCTAGGCATGTTCTACTCACTGTTTTTTTTTTTTTTTTGCCAACTATCTAAACTATCCTGTAAAGTGCACAGAATTCAGTAATTTGGTCAATTTTGCATAAAACTAAAAAAAATTCAATTTAAAAACAATGTAGACATCCCAGGCACTAAAATGACATTTTCTCTGTGCAATAATAATGTTCCAAAGCCTCTTCATATATTTCCGTTACTTTCAGCATTAGGTTTTCCATTGTAACAAATGATACATTGAAACAGCTAATAAAACCATAAAAACCATCCTAGAAAAACCTCAAAGTTACTATTTTAAACCAAACACATGATCAGTTTTGCTTTTCCCATTATGCATCACGTGAGGCAGGCTTTTTTATACTGTGCACACTCACCGCACAGACCCTTTCTCTCATACCTAGGCCAAAATTTACAGCTCACAGCATATCAGAGTGAGCAGATTCCACAACGTAGTTCTACCTGCCAGACAGTCAAAGGGTTAACTGGCACAATTCATAATGTTCACAAGAACATATGCAAATCACATTAGAACTAATAATAAATTAAAAACATTCCTTAAATACTTTACATTATTATATTCCAGAAATCATTTCTGCAGTTTATTCTTTTAATTTTATAACAACTTTTCAAACAAAAATAAGAATACTGGCAAGAGATGCTTTTATTCTATGTTGCAATACAGTCTTTATAATTGTGTTTGATTGTTATGTTCACAAGGCACCTCAAAATTACTGGAATAATTCTAGATTACTCAAGACGGAACTTTGAAAAACCAAGAAAAAGGGGAAAATATTGGCAAGAGATCAATCACATGAACATTCTGCACAGTGCAGCAGACCATGAAGCACTTGTATGTCACACTACATGGCGTACATTCTGGCAGGTGTATAAAGCAGCAGACCATGAAGCACTTGGGCGTCTCCCTCTTCACTACATGCCCACTTCACTTTGGCATCTGTCAACACAAGAGAAGATTCAGTTCACACATTTTTCATAACATTAATGTATAATAGGATGGTATATCAGCATGCAATTTGTCTCGCATCTTTTTTTTTTATCACTCTGGCCGATTCCCACCAAAGCAGGGTGGCCCGAAAAAGAAAAACTTTCACCATCATTCACTCCATCACTGTCTTGCCAGAAGGGTGCTTTACACTACAGTTTTTAAACTGCAACATTAACACCCCTCCTTCAGAGTGCAGGCACTGTACTTCCCATCTCCAGGACTCGAGTCCGGCTTGCCGGTTTCCCTGAACCCCTTCATAAATGTTACTTTGCTCACACTCCAACAGCACGTCAAGTATTAAAAACCATTCGTCTCCATTCACTCCTATCAAACACGCTCACGCACGCCTGCTGGAAGTCCAAGCCCCTCGCACACAAAACCTCCTTTACCCCCTCCCTCCAACCTTTCCTAGGCCGACACCTACCCCACCTTCCTTCCACTACAGACTGATACATTCTTGAAGTCATTCTGTTTCGCTCCATTCTCTCTACATGTCCGAACCACCTCAACAACCCTTCCTCAGCCCTCTGGACAACAGTTTTGGTAATCCCGCACCTCCTCCTAACTTCCAAACTACGAATTCTCTGCATTATATTCACACCACACATTGCTCTCAGACATGACATCTCCACTGCCTCCAGCCTTCTCCTCGCTGCAACATTCATCACCCATGCTTCACACCCATATAAGAGCATTGGTAAAACTATACTCTCATACATTCCCCTCTTTGCCTCCAAGGACAAAGTTCTTTGTCTCCACAGACTCCTAAGTGCACCACTCACCCTTTTCCCCTCATCAATTCTATGATTCACCTCATCCTTCACAGACCCATCCACTGACACGTCCACTCCCAAATATCTGAATACATTCACTTCCTCCATACTCTCTCCCTCCAATCTGATATCCAATCTTTCATCACCTAATATTTTTGTTATCCTCATAACCTTACTCTTTCCTGTATTCACTTTAATTTTCTTCTTTTGCACACCCTACCAAATTCATCCACCAATCTCTGCAACTTCTCTTCAGAATCTCCCAAGAGCACAGTGTCATCAGCAAAGAGCAACTGTGACAACTCCCACTTTGTGTGTGATTCTTTATCTTTTAACTCCACGCCTCTTGTCAAGACCCTCGCATTTACTTCTCTTACAACCCCATCTATAAATATATTAAACAACGACGGTGACATCACACATCCTTGTCTAAGGCCTACTTTTACTGGGAAATAATTTCCCTCTTTCCTATGTACTCTAACTTGAGCCTCACTATCCTCGTAAAAACTCTTCACTGCTTTCAGTAACCTACCTCCTACACCACACACCTGCAACATCTGCCACATTGCCCCCCTATCCACCCTGTCATACGCCTTTTCCAAATCCATAAATGCCACAAAGACCTCTTTAGCCTTATCTAAATACTGTTCACTTGTATGTTTCACTGTAAACACCTGGTCCACACACCCCCTACCTTTCCTAAAGCCTCCTTGTTCATCTGCTATCCTATTCTCAGTCTTACTTTTAATTCTTTCAATAATAACTCTACCATACACTTTACCAGGTATACTCAACAGACTTACCCCCCTATAATTTTTGCACTCTCTTTTGTCCCCTTTGCCTTTATACAAAGGAACTATGCATGCTCTCTGCCAATCCCTAGGTACCTTACCCTCTTCCATACATTTATTAAATAATTGCACCAACCACTCCAAAACTATATCCCCACCTGCTTTTATAACATTTCTATCTTTATCCCATCAATCCCGGCTGCCTTACACCCTTTCATTTTACCTACTGCCTCACGAACTTCCCCCACACTCACAACTGGCTCTTCCTCACTCCTACAAGATGTTATTCCTCCTTGCCCTATACATGAAATCACAGCTTCCCTATCTTCATCAACATTTAACAATTCCTCAAAATATTCCCTCCATCTTCCCAATACCTCTAACTCTCCATTTAATAACTCTCCTCTCCTATTTTTAAACGGGCAAATCCATTTGTTCTCTAGGCTTCGTTAACTTGTTAATCTCACTCCAAAACTTTTTCTTATTTTCAACAAAATTTGTTGATAACATCTCACCCACTTCTCTCATTTGCTCTCTTTTTACATTGCTTCACCACTCTCTTTTTCTCCATATACTCTTCCCTCCTTGCATCACTTCTACTTTGTAAAAACTTCTCATATGCTAACTTTTTCTCCCTTACTACTCTCTTTACATCATCATTCCACCAATCGCTCCTCTTCCCTCCCGCACCCACTTTCCTGTAACCACAAACTTCTGCTGAACACTCTAACACTACATTTTTAAACCTACCCCATACCTCTTCGACCCCATTGCCTATGCTCTCATTAGCCCATCTATCCTCCAATAGCTGTTTATATCTTTCCCTAACTGCCTCCTCTTTTAGTTTTATAAACCTTCACCTCTCTCTTCCCTGATGCTTCTATTCTCTTTGTATCCCATCTACCTTTTACTCTCAGTGTAGCTACAACTAGAAAGTGATCTGATATATCTGTGGCCCCTCTATAAACATGTACATCCTGAAGTCTACTCAACAGTCTTTTATCTACCAATACATAATCCAACAAACTACTGTCATTTTGCCCTACATCATATCTTGTATACTTATTTATCCTCTTTTTCTTAAAATATGTATTACCTATAACTAAACCCCTTTCTATACAAAGTTCAATCAAAGGGCTCCCATTATCATTTACACCTGGCACCCCAAACTTACCTACCACACCCTCTCTAAAAGTTTCTCCTACTTTAGCATTCAGGTCCCCTACCACAATTACTCTCTCACTTGGTTCAAAGGCTCCTATACATTCACTTAACATCTCCCAAAATCTCTCTCTCTCCTCTGCATTCCTCTCTTCTCCAGGTGCATACACGCTTATTATGACCCACTTTTCGCATCCAACCTTTACTTTAATCCACATAATTCTTGCATTTACACATTCATATTCTCTTTTCTCCTTCCATAACTGATCATTCAACATTACTGCTACCCCTTCCTTTGCTCTAACTCTCTCAGATACTCCAGATTTAATCCCATTTATTTCCCCCCACTGAAACTCCCCTACCCCCTTCAGCTTTGTTTCGCTTAGGGCTAGGACATCCAACTTCTTTTCATTCATAACATCAGCAATCATCTGTTTCTTGTCATCTGCACTACATCCACACACATTCAAGCATCCCAGTTTTATTAAGTTTTTCTTCTTCTCTTTTTTAGTAAAGGTCTACAGGAGAAGGGGTTACTAGCCAATTGCTCCCGGCATTTTAGTCGCCTCATACGACACGCCTGGCTTACGGAGGAAAGATTCTTTTCCACTTCCCCATGGACAATAGAAGAAATAAAGAACAAGAGCTATGTAGAAAAAGGAGAAAAACCTAGATGTATGTATATATATATGCATGTGCATGTCTGTGAAGTGTGACCAAAGTGTAAGTTGGAGTAACATGAAAAGTGGTCCATCACTATTATTATTTTAAGTGTCAAACCTGCACAGGTCATGAAGCACTACAAAGCCGAGGGAAGCAATCAGCAAATGGAAATAGTGTGAAGAGTGAACTTATGAGCTACCAAGGAAACTCAGTTTTTTTTTCTTTTTTTTAATAAATTGGCCGTCTCCCACCGAAGCAGGGCGACCCAAAAAGAAAGAAATGAATTTAAATCCAAGCTAAAACAAGAGCAGTGTAGCCATTTTTAATATTCAGAGAAAGACTGACTTTCATAATTTTCCTATCACATTTATTGAATTTTTGTATCATGTGCCATCATATTTAATGAAAGCAATGACAATCTCCTATAAAAGAAAGTGACTATATATCCTGATAATTTTTATATTTTGACAAGCATACAGTGCTTTAAGTGATGCTCCATGGCTAAGTATAATATATTACCTAACAAGAGAGGTTGTGCTTTCAGTCTGCCTCTTGCATTTCATTAAACCGATCCCAAAACATGCATCAATTACTTTAGATGTACATTTCTAGGCATGTACTGGTGGGCCCTGCTTTACAGCATTTCACTAATGCAGCAGTTTTCAGTTATACCCGTTCTTCATTTATTCAGATTTCCTACAATAAATACACACACCACTCACTATAAGCTAAGGACGAAAATATTTTAAGGTAAATAATGTGTTTACTTACTGTACATGCATTTTTTAGACCTAGCTATTACTCACTTAATATATGACAGTGTTGTAAACATGTTATCAGGCTTTTATATGCATTCAAAATGCTATATTTCACTTTACAATGGTAGACTGGAACCTTACCTGCTGTATAAGTGGGGCTTGACTGTATTCAAGAATATTTATAAAGCACATTAATTCTTCACACAATACACAAATTCATCCAGAGTACATCAACCAGTATATGTCCATCTAGAGCATATCAACCAGTACATGTTCGTCTAGAGTACATCAACCAGTACATGTCCATGCAGAGCACATCAACCAGTACATATCCATGCAGAGCACGTCAACCAGTACATGTCCATCTAGAGCACATTAACCAGTACATGTTCATCTACACTACATCAACCAGTATATGTTTATCTAGAGCAAATCAACCAATACATGTTCACCTAAAGCACATCAACCAGTGCATGTTCACCTAGAGCACATCAACCACTACATGTTCGTCTAGAGCACATCAACCAGTATATGCCCATCTAGAGCACATCAACCAGTACATGTTCATCTAGAGTACATCCACCAGTACATGTTCATCTACAGTACATCAACCAGTACATGTCCATGCAGAGCACATCAACCAGTACATGTCCATGCAGAGCACATCAACCGTACATGTCCATCTAGAGCACATTAACCAGTACATGTTCATCTACAGTACATCAACCAGTATATGTTTATCTAGAGCAAATCAACCAGTACATGTTCACCTAGAGCACATCAACCAATACATGTTCACCTAG